TAATTAACCATTGTTTCTTGCTAATAACAATCGGAGGAAAAAAAAAAAAAAAAAAGAAGAAAGAAAACAAGACCGTGTTGTTTGCCGAACGGTTGCCAATTGCGGATTACGTCATTGGTGTGTTTCACCTTTGTGGCTGTGATAATTATTTCGAGGTAAAAATATGGATTGTTCTTTTTTTTCCCGAGCGTAATTGTGATTACGGAATTGATCGAAAATTGAAGAATCGAAATTTCTGTGAAATATTTTGATACACTTGTTTTTTTTTTTTTCTTTTTTCATTTTCTTCATTCCTTTTGAACACTGGTAAATTTATTTATTTGTTTACTCAAATTTATTCAGCGTTCAATCGCGATTTCCAAGAGATCGGTTATTTTTATAAAAATTTATTTTGATGTATCTATATATGAAAAAATTATGACCTGTGGTAAAAAGAAAAAAAGAATATTAAAAATTCATTGCAATATCAAAGATATTTTATATTTGTTGCGACAGATTTTCAATATTTCATAATCCATTGTAATAATAGTCTTAACCTAGTATGTATCTGTATATACAATTCTCATCTAAAAATAAAATTGATTTACCATTTCCAACTTCCGAATTTAAACTTAGAAGAAGAAAAATTCTGGTACGTTCGTCGAGTTATGAAACCGATATAAATCGGGAGGGATCATCATCACCGAAACGTATTTCATCCAGTCCAGTTTCGCCATTTTTATATTTTTCCGCGGTCGGGTTGAAGGCGGCTCGAGTGCTCGGCGTGTACAAGCCGCGGCCCATTTTTATCAATCCGGACGATTTACTCCCGAAATAACTGTGTAATGCAGAAAAATGCTCTTCGAGAAGGATCTCGCAAGGAGAAGAATCGCGTTGAAACACGTTGCTCGAGCATCCGTCGGAGCCTCCTCCGCATCCTTCCTTCCATCTTCTAACCCGCCCCTCGCCCCCTCTCGCGAGAGATAACGAGCTCCGCACATCCTTCCAACGTGAATTTTCGCGAAAATTGCGATGGTTCCACGGCCTTCAACCTGACCATTTGTTTCGTTCGTTGATCCATCAGATTTTTCTTCCTCCCTTTAACCCCCTTTCGGAGGATTACGGCCACCGATTTCGGTGGAAGTAGCAGGTTGTTGTACGCCATCCTGTAATAATGGCGTAGTTCTCGCTCGACGAAAAGTCTCAGCGGAATAAGAGAGAGCAAGATTCGAGATTTCTTTCCTCTTCTTATTCCTATAGTTCGATTTTGGCTTTTATTCTCGTATAATATTTATTTATTAAATTTCGATTAAATATCGCTCTCTCGATCTATATTCTTTTCGCTTCGATGATACGTATGTACAATAATTCGATTTCGAGTTCGATTCGTTTATTTAAATTTTCGATGAAAATTTCTCGTTTCCAATCAAGTCAAATTTTTACACACAAAAATTTCGTTTTGCGCCGTCATGCGTTGCTGATCGGAACGACGAGGGCATTTGTAGCTTTATCGGCAGTAATTTATTAATCTTGGTCGAGAAAAATTCGATAAAATTTTCCGTATATTGAAAAGCAAGAGATTAAAAATTGTTTCGAGCAATTTGATCGATTGCTATTTAATAATTTCTTCGTTTATTTCGCATTCTTCGAATTGATCAACTTCGAATTGATAAATAGATTCACTCGATTCTACGAAATTGTAAAATATAATATTAGCCATCTCGTATCGCAATAGAGTTCCAATAGACAGAATTCTAACGCGATTCTACATTTTTCGCGTTCAAAATTCACTTTCTTCGTCTACCACGATCGAAGAGTAATTAAGATAACCGAGCGACTCGAAATTTAATGGGTGCCGTGATTAAATCGCCTGCAACTTCCACAAAATTCGCAAATACGAAACGTATGTGTACACACACGTTTTGCCACTCGTTAGCCCGGCAACTAACCGGTTGCTAATGGCGAATCCACTTTGGGAACTCTCAGCAACATCGGCGGATTTAGAATCGGGGGATCCCGTGTTATTTATCCAGTTCCTTATTAGTGGCTCGTTCATTATTCTCTGCCTGTGAAACGTCCACGTAATCCTTGATATTGTTCATTGATTAATGTGATCGTGTTGGATTCACGAATCAGAGTGAATATATGTGATTTGATTTTCTTTTTTACTCGAAGATTAAGAATACGTTCAATTCTTCTTTGTAAATTCGTGTCGTGTTATGAAATCTAAATTCGAAAATTGTAATATTATTATGCAATTACATAATACGGAGGAATTAATATATAAAAATTACAATTGAGATTTATTCGTTAAATCGTAAAAGTAATTAAGTTTACATTGGGCGAAGCAAGAGACGATTTTATCAACTCGAATTAATAAATACGTTCGTCCTCTACAATCGATTTAATCCAAAAATATCCCGCGAATACATTAATACCCTGTAATATGAGAATTTAAAATTTATATTCTCGTTGTTCTTTTGGAGATATTATAGTTTATTCTCATAACCGCAAGATAAATAGAGAATTATAAGATCGAAGCTGTTTCAAAATATTTACACGAGAAGAAAAGTATCATAATTTTTTTTGAAAAGTAAGACATCCACGGCATTGGAACGTTAAATATACATATATATCTATAGTGAAATTACCCTTCTACCACTCGTCCGATAAGGATAAGTACTGTACCTCACTTTAACAGGCTGCTGAGGACTAAAAGAAAATCACAGTGGAAGAAGTTCAACTCTCTTTGGAGCAAACGTAAGAGGGATTTCAAACGAAACGACGTCGCATCGTTGCTTTCGAATAAATCTGCTTTTCGACTACCTGAAAAAAAGGGGAAGAAGATTAGAAAAAAAGAAATAATAATAATAATAATAAAAAGAAACAATAACAGTAAAAAAAAAACACGAAAAGAGTTCGTTCGATTAGTATCACATCGATCGATTTCTTCTTCTCTGTTCCCTCCATTGGAAACGAAACGAAATTTCCGCGAGAAACAGGAATTTCCAGTAGAGTTATAAAACCGATTACAAGCATGAAAAAGACTATTATTTTCTTGGCGAGCATCGGTTGCTGTTCCTTTCGCAAGCCAGTTTGCACTTTTGACACTGTTTGCAGAAATTCACGC